TTTATCGTAAACATAATTTAAAACATGTTTTAAACAGTAACTAAAAATAATTTTAAAAACAATTTTAAAGTTTAACAAAACTCAGATATGAAATTTGGTGAGGGAGGGGGCAGCAAATTTGTGTGTATTACATGAGTGGCCAAATAGATCATAGCGTACCTGATTATAATGTATATGATCACTTATAGTTATTTATTATTATCTCGTAAACCAGTTACGTATTCGCGTAAGTTATTAGAACCCTATAAATGACGGTTTTCGGGGAAATTTTTTCAATAACTTACGATAAATATACTTTAGCGAGAGAATAATATGAAAAAAAAAGTCTAGAAACGTATTTGGGTTTATAAATGTTTTTAGTGCTTTTATTCCCATAAAGGTGTTTGAACGTAAAACAAGAAACGGCAATATATTAATACTCATGTCACGTTTAATATTGAAATTAGTGCATCTATATCTTAATCTCTACAAGTACGCCACCATATTGTTGTGATTTATTCCAACAGTCTTAGAATTCATTGAAACTGGAAAGATTTGAATATTTTTTGAGGCTTGTGATAATTGAAGGTGGATTAATTTCGTTCTTCGGTAATACTGAGTACGATTAAAATGACGCAAACAATTCATTCAGATGTAGTTTTGGGCTACTTCATCAAAATAATACATTGCCCGTCTGCGGGTTATGTTTTGGTAACTATTTTGTTACATTTAAATTCGTTTAAACTATCAAGTCGTTTACAATATATGTTTATATATTTACTGCGATGGAGTTCTCATTTGGATTATTGGGATAACAAACAATACTTTTTTTAAGTCATTGACCCCATAGATTTTTTAATTTTCAATAATATATATATAATTCGATAATGTGTTTTTTAAACATAGCATAATTCAGTCAAATGTGTGTGGTAATTAAAACAAAAAACTAGAATTCAAATTATTTACTAATATATTTTTATAGTTTCGGAGTACATATTAAAAAATTTGAAGAGTAAAATAATATTTAACTTTCAGACTCGTTATAACTAATTATTACATATATAAGGAACACTGCTGGCACACGGTAAGTCCTTCAAATTGTATATGAATGGTTAATTAACCTATTGAACATTAAAATTAAAAAAATAATATATTTAAAAACACCTTTTGAATTATAAAAATGTTTGAGGTCGATTTTTTGTTTACTAATTAAAAACAAAACATTAGTGTGGTAACTTAAAATTTAAACGAGAACCTACATTTGCAAATTACGATCGGAACAACACTGACGTAATGCAGAATCCGAATGGCCTTTTATGTTGGTGGTGGAATAGCTAATATAATAACAATTCGCCTGTATATTAATTAATATCGGAAAATTATCACGTATACCTATCATAAGTACAGTGTAATAATAATATAACCATTGATTTAAAAAAAAAAAAAAACTGATGTCCTAAATCATTGTTAAAATTTGTAGTATCTACGTGGATGCAGCCACTAGACGTCTCTGTTATCAATTGTATTAAACTTTAAAAAAAAAACAGGTTTCTAATAATAGAAACAGTGTAAACATAAAGCTTCTATTTATGAAAACCTGTTCTGGTTAAGTATAATGAAATCGATTATAGTAACTGCGTCCATAACAACAGAATGGCGAATTTCTATGTCCTATAATATTCAATGGTATAATGTACTATCATAGTGGTTCTCAAACTGTGGTACGCGAAATCCTTGGGAGTACTAGAGATTTTTTAAGGGGCACGAGTCTGGCCAAAAAATCTTTAAATTTAAATTATATATGTGGAAATGGTTATTCCACATTTAAAAGTAAATATAGAAACAAGTAAAATGTTGAAAATGATTCAAGATAGTATTTAACTAAATTAGAATCCAATATTGATCAACTGCGCCAACAAAAACAAGCTAACCCTTCTCATTATTTTTTTTTTTTTTTTGAAAGTAAGCTCTTTTTGTTTTTAATATTTTTTGTGTATTAGTTTTTAATGAAATAAAAATATAATGAAGTTTTTAAAAATTTTAATATTTATTTTAGTTTTTCTAACCAAGAAGGGGTACCCAAGAATGTTTATCGATAAAAAGGGATACAGTGTTCATAAAAGTTTGAGGATCCCTGTACCATCATATAATACGATTGAGTCGAGCGTATTGCACGATAGTTTGTGCATTTCGTTGATGTTACTGGTGCGCGGGTACCGTTTCGTCAAATCCGCCGTGTTGGCCCGGAGCCACTACGAACTCATCTGTCCCGCCGCCACGCGTCTAACGTTGTAAGGATTACATAAAAGGACCGCTATAATACACGGGCATATTTAAATGATTTCATAGTGAAAATAGTGTAAATAAAACAATGGCGGTATTATTTTAGACGATAAAAGCAGCCAATTGTTCGCGGAACGGGCGTTTCGATTCCGGTTCACTAGATTCTGGATGCACACGCTGTATGGGGCGCGCGCGCGAACGGCGCACAGCGTTATTACGATTACGATTATTATTATCAACGAAACAAACAATAAACACATAGTTCACAAACGACTTGCGATGATGCGGCGATAACACGACGCGTCTCCTCGGTTGACAATAATGAGCACGCCGACGCGGTTGACATCGGCGCTAATTGGTTTTTAATTACCCGCGTCCCGGGTAAGCGCCACCGCAGCCGCCGCAACCGTTTTACACTATATTTACCTAGTGGCCGCCGCCTCCGTCGTATCAACCGTCGTTACCGCCGTAGAATACCGCCCGGTCGAGACGAAGCCGGTTGTATATTGTCCATCGATTCGATCGCGTTAACAATTAACGGCGGCCGTACCGCCGCTGGTTAATGCACGACATGTCCGCGAAATCGAGCGCGGGAGTTCGAAACGGTTTAACCGAGATAAATTTACGATACATTCGTTTAATACGTATAACGTTAAACGACGAAACGGCACCAGAGCAGGCCGAGTAAGCGTGCGCGCGTGCGCGTGTGTGCACGTATACGCGTAATGTACATAATTATTTACGGTTTATGCAAAGTAATTTATATAAGTAACGGTCATTTATAATACGGCCGTGCCGTTGCCGAGTGTATAATAATAATGCGTCGTTTATTACGGTATCGACAAAGTGTCGCGCGTCCGTATCGCATAATAATATTATATAAATACGCCTAAACGCATTATTATTATTATTATTATTGTTATTGTTATTAATATTTAGATTGCTGGAATCGTTGTTGTTATGCAGTGGTTGAATTTAATTTGTCAAACAACCGAGTCGGTTTAGTGGTTTGCCGTTTGGACGACAACCGTCCGGAAGTTTAACGCTTCAATTTTATTTAAGCGATTTCGACCGGAGCCCGGCTAGATTGATTCTGACTTCACCGTCGATTATGTACCACCTATCCCGTGTATACCTACCTCCGCCGAGATCGTTTTTCGATCACTAGCGGTTGTGGCGGGTGGTCCAATAACGGTAATAACAACAATAATAATTATCGCGTTATCGTCGCAATCGTTCTTGTCGCGAGATTAACAACGGACGTTTTTCGCCACCGTCGCGACGCAGGCACCTGAACGTCGAAGAAGCCATTTGTAACCGGAAAAACGCAAAAATGGTCGTCCGACGGGTTTTCGGGTACTTGTTCGTGTAACAAAAACAAAACGTTCACTAATCCTGAAACAATGATGTTTGGTTTCGGTTTAAGTTTAAGTTTCAGCCATGAGCTTGACAGATTTATTTTCGTCCTCTATACATCTGCATTTTTCGTAGAAAAATTAATTTTAAAAAAATTAATTTTATTTAACGTGACTTAATATGTATGAGCACCACATCACGTAACTACCCCTAGATCTTCAAACCGATTTAGGTCCTAACAATATTCCAGAAAAATGTAATAATAAATAAATATATAGAGGCGGCTATCGACGAAAAAAAACTAATTTAGTAAATAAGCCCATTATAAAGTACCTATTATTATACGCATAGATATGCATTATTCTAGTTTTGAAGATTGTAAAAATGTATTAAAAAAAAAAAAAAATTAAACTACTGTCTTTAAAGTATTTATCATCCGTTTTAGACATTCGTGACACTTATAATATAACTTGTTGAACAACAATTTTAAGCCTCGTAAAAAAGCTTGCAGTTTGCAAACCAGCCTCGCAATCGTTACGGTCCTGGTCACGTATTGTCGGTTAGAAGTTTGTGATTGCATCCGAGTGGTTTGTACCAAAATTTAGATATATTTATGGACAATGAACACTATGGGACATTAACTTCCCAAGTATATGTGAATTAAATTCTTCCCGAATAATCTTAACGGTTATCTGAACTCGCAGATTATTTTTAGTCCGCTTGACGGTATAACGTTATAGTACAATTTAAGGGGTCTAGAAATCTTGAACATTTGCCTATGAAACCACTCAATAGTTACTAAATTCTTCAGTACTTGGTTATTAATTTACTATTACCGTACTAGTCATTAATATACTATAATTATTCGTATAACTTGTGCTAAATAATTACTACCGTTGATAGTATTCTTCAATAAGATGCCATATGTTAATAGTAACATAAAGGGTCTGTAGCCCTTTTACAAACCAAGTCTTAAATCTCGTCTAATCGTGTGCACCTGAAACGTTACCTTCGTTTGTCGCGCAACACCCGTCAATCAACGAGCATAATAGTACGTCCAAAATAGCGCACAGCAACAGTCCTAATAAACAACGGTCGCGTGAAATCCGAAAGCTTATTGTACGGTTGTTGGTCGTTGCACACGTGTAACATTACGATTATAACTGCACGCCGTTTATATAGCCCCCTTCAGCACGTGGCTAAGTCCATATCGCCGACGGTTGAAGCGGCGAATCCTTCGGCGGAGACCGACCAGCAGGGCCGCGGTGACGATAACGTTCGGCGGGGTGGCGTCCCCGGTGGTTGTGTTGCCAACGCCGGGAGGCGGCAGCGTCGTCGTCGTGTCCGCGATCGCAGTCCTCGTCGCCGTCAGTTCCCTCCAATGGTCCGTCCGCACAGCCTGCAGGTATCCGCGATGTTCCTCCACGAAGCCGTGTGGTGTTGCGCGCGTGTTACGAGAACAATCTGACGTTGCACCCACTCGTCGACTTCGTCCAGCAAACGATATCGTCTCTCGTGTATAACGTTATCATTGCGTCGGTCGAATTAAAATAATATATAAATATCGTATGCATTTACTCTATCGTGCACGTCTCGTTGGCAGATCGAATAACTACGTGGCATGTACGTACGTGTGTATAGAAAAAAACTTTAGTACATAGGTACACCACTCACGGGGGTAAATCAACTTGGATGATAGTCGATGAAACCTTAGACTAGTGAAAAAAAAAAAAAATAATAATCAACCAATACTTAATAACAAAATAAAATAGAAAAACACCAACGATGGAAGTAATAATGTTCTGACGTGATCGATGTGTTATTTTAGATTTCATGCACGAAAGACGAAATGATCGAAGCGGACGGACGACCTCGTGGAGAAATCATACGAGATTAACGTCATCATTAGTCCGTGCACACCAGTAGTTAAAGTGAGTTCAATATTATATACGTTATTATACTTGATCGCTTTCATATACGCTCACTTACACGTGTGTAAATATTTATCAAACACGGGTAGTAGGCTAATAGAGTTTTTCTGCTTTTGATTTTTACACACACCGTTGAAGACTACGTTTACTACCGGCCAAAGACTGCCGCGCGCCGATTACTGTTGCTACGTGTTGTACCTTATACTTAGACACGTAAAAAAAATAAATAAAAATAATAAAAACTTTTTTATTATTATTTTTCTTTTAAACTTTTTTTCTTTTATTTCTTTACTATTACTATTATCGTTGCAACGACGGAAACACGCAGTAGAGATTCGCACTTGTTATTATTACTACTGTATTTCCCGCTGCATCCTACTATTTATATATATATAAATAATAATAATAATAATAATAAAAGCGCACGCTCCCGCAAAAAGAAGAAGAAAAAAAGAGAAAGAAATAAAAATCAAAAGTAAAATAAATAAAAGGAGGCTAGCGACGTATTCGTATTACAGCTACTATATTATTCTCTTTTGTAGTATTCCCGGTCTCGACATCGCAACGTCCGGGACGTGGCTATTACTAGCTACCTTATAATAAAATAACAGTGGAGGAGGTCAGTATAATATTTTATTCGTGATGGTATAAATAAATACCTAGTTACAACGTTAACTTATAGACAAATATAATAATAATCATTTGACCGTCATAATTGAATCCTCTCCTGTCTTATATCTCCTAAAAATAATATTAAGGTTGATATTGAATCGTGTAAATGTTGGGGATTTTCCTATTATATTACAAAGTACCTGTTAAATTAATATTTAATTTACATTTCACCTTAATTATTAACATTTGAAAGTAAATAAGTGAAGTGAATATTGAATTGGTCGTAATAATAAAGTATTTATTATTTAAGAAGAATGAAAGTTTTTAATGAAATAAGTATAATCATATTATTTACCAAGAACATTTTAAAGAAAAAAACAAATTTTTCAGATGAATTTGGGTATTAGGAATTAAATTAAATTTTTTCATTGCAATAACAATGTTTTAAATTTGTTTTTTGATAATAATAATAATGATATTAATTCATTAAACAACGTACAAAAGCACATAAATTAAAATATATTTGGTTAAAACGCAGTATATTTTATGCTCTAAAAATGTAAATGTTCATTGAAATCAAACACGTATAACTTATTGTGATTTTTTTTTTTTATTGTAGTCAGAACATCATTTTGTTGATTTTTTTTGTTTAAATGTGCAAAATAGTAGCAGATGAGATACAAAATTCTGTTAAGAAATGAATACCTCAAGCCGTTATTAGGTAACAAAATATAAAAGGGTTTTTCATATAAGAAGTAATATAATATATCTTGTTTAAACCCTACTTGGAGATCCATTTATACATTATTTCAATTTTTAACAACTTGTGAGTTCCCCTGCTTAAATTTATAAGGCATTTTCCCTACTGTTTTTCTATTTTAGTATAATGTTATGGTTAAATATTCCGTGTCTTCTTGTTTAGTTGTTTCATATTCATGCCAATTTAAATAATTTTGATTTGCCTTTCAAACATTTCATTAGATTTAGAGTTTATAATAGATTTATTATCATACTGTTTATTAATAAAAGATTATATAGTTTTTTATGAAACTTGTGGATTTACTAAATGATCTGGTTCTGGAGTTCGGAAATAGATAATGGTAGTCAAATAGTAAAAATAGATATTTGCTTAATATAAAATTATAATTTATTTTGCAAATAGTATTATTTTAGTTTAGAATTTTAGATGTATTTACTTTGGAAAACGGGCAAACAAAATATAAAATATTATTGTAATTATAAAACGTTTGTATTAATTTTGTCTACGGTGATATAATTATAAATTATTAATGACTAGTTTTCATTAAATCACTATACAATTTAAATATGTACAATATTATCAAGAGTAAAACTTATTTTCGTTTAAAATGTGATGCTATACAAATAAGACAGAAAAATGTACTGTGAATGTTTTCAGTTTTTAAGTTTTTAGTGACGCACTCATTATGTACTTAAATAGCATACAAATTTCAATTAAAGATACTATAACTTATGTATACTATAACTTATGTAAGCAGTGGCTTATTTAGATGCAGGATATAGGCACGTGCCTATAGCGGAAATGTTGAAGGACGACAAATTTTTGAAAGTTATACGTTTTACGGTATTACGTATTATTATATTTATATACGTTTTTAGGTTTTCTGATATTGTAAAATATATTATATATACTTCTATATGAAAAAAATAGTAGACAATAGCTTACCCCACTAACAGTTAACAAGATATTTATTTTCAGAATTTCTTATCGTCTTTTATGTGTATAAGATGTTTATGAAAGAAATCGTTATCGATGATTTTAATAAATAAAATATCTAGCAATAAAGAATTATTCTGAATTCAGTCTCTGTGTACGATACCGAGTGTGTAAATCTATTGTACGTAAATCGTTTCCTTTTTACTTTATTTACTAACTTATTGTTATTTATTGATTATTTTTACTATATTTTTTTTTTTTTTTGTGATGAAAAGTAGAAAGCTGTTAAGCGGTGACCAATATAAAACAATTGCCTAACCATAAAGTGATAATTTGCAAATTGTTTAAAATTAAACACAAATTTACAGATTTTTGTTGACAATACAGCTTTTTCTACTCCATTTAGTATTTTATTATAGCGACTACTAGTGATGGGCAGAAGTTACTAATTCTTACCGACTTAGTAGTACTGCGTGACTAGTTAGTTAATCTACGTGGTATAATTAGTCATTTGACTAATATTTTATTCGACTATCTATGATCATTTCACACTGATGAAAAATTAAAAAAATTTGCATTGTTATCAATAAAGAATGACATGTTAAATTAATTTTATTTTGAAAATTGTGATCACTTTTTAAACACTTTTGCTACTATTAATTGTCGAAATCAGGGGTGGATTGACAATTATTTTCGGCCCAGAAAATATGAAACAAACGGGCCCATGAACTGCAAATTAAACTATTTTACCCATCCTCCCTCCCAAAAAATGTTTGCATAAATTTCAAAATTTGTTTAGTTTCACCCCTAAATTAGTAAAATTTACAATAACTTTACTATAGTTATAACTATAATAGTTTTGGGTAAGTCACATGATTAATCAGTTCCAACTTGAACTTGAATTTTGATCTTTATGCATCTTTAAATATATATTTATTTTTTTAATGATTGTCATTTATTTTATAAAAAAAAACTTTTTTTTGGTAATTATATAATAATATAGAGCGGCCCAAACAAGGACCGGCCCATCAGGAAGATTCCCGATTTCCCAATAGGCCAATCCACCCCTGGTCGACATAGACCGATATAATTAATAATTGTCATATCCAAGTTTGAAGAATTTATTTTATCTGTTGTATGCAATGATTAATTATTAATAAAAATGTTTAACTCTTAAGAAATTATGCTTTATTATTTAAATACAATTTGTTACTTAATTAATATATATTTTTTAGTAAATAAATTATAACTTGGTCTAATATTTTAGTTATTAAGAGTGGGAATTTTTCATAGGCCAACAAGCGGGAAACGTATAAATACGTGCCCCTGCATGTAAGTTGTTAATATTAACTATATTATTCGAATACGTAACAACCTTTAGTATAACTTGGACTTAGTCACAAATATAAAAACTTTCACTTGAATAACGGTTATTCTGCTCTAATGTTACCTCCATTGTCTATATTCCTCTTTTTGTTTTACTTTTCACCACACTCTCCGAATATACAAGACCTACTATGGTACTACTATGTTTACGATTATTATTTTACTACCTTTGCTACTGTTGTTAGTACTTTTTTTTACTACTGCCATCATTGTTATTATTATATTATGGTTTTTTGCTACGCCACCGTAAACTTACCCTCCAATTCAATTTCATCGAACGCCTAGAAAATGTATACAATTAACATTATATACGTACATACGAATATCAAAAGATATATACGTCATGCTTCCCTTTATTTTCAAACCAAGTTAACCATTCAATCAAAGTAATAATGAATCGAAAAATACACTCCGAAGAATATTGACGTGTTCAAATTCACGTTGGCGGGATAAAGTTATATGGGGTTTAGTCGTAATATGGCTGCTTTGGTAGAGTAGCATAAGCATAATATAACAATAATAATTACGAGTATCAACCGCATAATCCACGAAGCGCGCATGCACTCTCGGGGGACCATCACTAATATTATTTACCTTATTTTATAGTTGTTATTATAAACATTAATACATTAAATGCAATAGAGTCGGAGGATGGAGTGGAAACCAGCTCACGTGGTTGTGGAATTTTGGTGGTATCGTACTGAGAGCCTGTATATGTGGGGTAGCGACCACAGCAACGAATATTGTAATAAAACTAATCTTACACACTGTAGTCCCTAAAATGAAATTCGGGAGGTAAAATATACAAAATTATATTATTTTGGAATACATTTAGAACCATTCCAACTTAATTAAATATTAACTGATACCTATCGGATAAGATGACTACTAGTTGGTATGATTTAAATTGTGTATACATTAATATACTCTAATATATACATGATATTCATTATTTTCAATTTTTATTGAAAATTTTCAATTTTCAATTTTTCAATTATAAAACAGCTTTATACACATTTTTGAATAAAAATAAAATAATTAAGAATAATTAATTTCAAATGTTTGGTTTAATTTATAAATCTAAAAAGAAAATGAGGCAATGATTAAAGGCAATGATTAAAAAAAAAGAAACAAATATCTTTTCAGCATTAAAATCCTTGGAGGGGGTATATTATCTTATTAATTTAAAAGCTATTATTATGGAATCATAAAAACGATTCCGAGTTGAATTGCTGTTTCCTATTTTACCGACAAGATTGCAAAACTTAAAAATGATTTTTTTTCTTCGAATATAATTGAACTTATAAAGTTTATATAAAACTACAATAAATATAAACATTCAATTAAAACCTCTGTAACTTTATTTAAATAGGAATATGGTTATGATTTATGTAAAAAGTATAAGTGTTAAACTTAATGTAATTTTAATTCGAATTCGCTTATTTTTCATAAAATAATAAGTTTTATTATTATGGAAAATGTTTGTGAATTTAATTATCAATTTCTAATCAAATTAATAACAGTGATTTGTGATGATTTTATTCTAAAACCGTATTCTTCAAACATTTATCATGGTCTGTATAAAATCAATTTTTTTAAAGTATTATTCCGAGTTCCTAGTCGATTCGTTGACGGCCATCTTTAGGCATTCACATTAGACTTTCATTTCATACTCGACGTGAGTTTTGACATTTTTAAAATACGACTGCTTTCAGGCAAAACATTTTATTACAAGCGGAGGAGTGAGGACACTCAATATAAAACCAATAGTATTTCTTGTTTGGAAGAATGTCTAATTTACAATTCACTGCTGAATACAGAAAACATATACCATTATTATTATACATACAGCTGACACAAATATGTAATATCTATATACATACAAATATCGTGTCACAGTTTTTGTGATTATACTCCTCCAAAACAGCTTAACAAATTTTAATGAAATTTTGTGTATACATTTGGTAGGTCTGCGAATAGGTTTTTATCTATTTTTTATACTCTTAAGTGATATTGTTTAATAAATTGTAGTTTAATTTAATAATTTTTGACTCGTTCGATATCTACGCAATTGAAAATGAATTATTAAATGATACTATGAAAAAACTATTAAAAAACTATTAAAAACTATTTAAAAGCTATTATTTTTATTTTTGTTATTAAATGATGGGTATTGCATAAATATTAAATAACAAGATTCCGCAACAGGTGCCAAAACAATCAAGAATTTCAGTTCGAAGAATTATTATGCATATCGGTTGATGTCGTGAGCTTTGTCAACAATTCATGGTCGACATGTATGTAAAAATAAAGAGCGAACGATTACGATACTTGTGATTCAATCAAAAAAAGCTGCGTGCGAAATATTCTCAAAACAATTGTTAAAAATCGGTGATGAGAAAGATACTACAGATGAAACGGGATGCATATAATTACCGACCGATTTCTGCACAATCATTGATTCGCAAGATGGTCTTATTGACCAGATATTTCCCAATTTACACAGACAATACACATATCATAAGTAGCTGGCAGAAAGAGCAATTTTAGCAGCAAAAAATGTGGACGTCAACGAATTGAATCTCAAGATACAACATTTGTTACCAGGAGACTTGGTGTTATACAAATCTATTGATACAGTTTGCGATGCTGTAAATTATCCAACAGAGTTTTTAAACTCATTGGATTTAATAGACATGTCACCGCATAATTTACAACTGAAGGTTGGATCTCCGGTTATTTTGCTTCGTAATTTGAACCCACCACGGTTGTGCAACGGCCTGCGATTAGTCATTAAAAAAATTAATGGAAAATGTTATCAAAGCCATAATTTTAAATGGCAAATTCTGAGGTGAGAATATATTATTACCGCGAATCCCTATTATACCCACAGATGTGCTAATACAATTAAAACGCCTTCATTTTCCAATTAGATTGGCATTTGCAATGACTATCAATAAGTCTCAAGGCCAAACGATGTCTGTCTGTGGCTTAGATTTGAGCACATCATGTTTTTCACTCGGACAATTATACGTGGTGTTCTCGAACCATCCAGTTTGTTTGTATAGGCGAAAAATGGGATAAAAAAATATATTGTACGCTCTGTTGCATTAATGGATTAATATTGTTTTTTACTAATATCGTCATAATTAGCGATATTTATAATTTTAAAGGATCAATTTTAAAAAATTATTAAAAAAATAAAAGTTTGATATTTTTTCATTTTTATATTCCGTCGCCGTTCACAGCACTCTAAACATCTTCCACTTATATACCACATCCTTACACACCTATATTAAATTAGTTATTTATTTTTTAGCAAAATATTCTCTAAAAATAAATTTATATGACAAAACAACTTTTGTCGGGTCATCTAGTATTTATATATAAATATAAATTGATATATATATATATATTATAATATATACAATGTGTCCCATTTATCCCGTATTAACCTAACCACGGCACTTAATAGTTCTGTACTTTATTTTTTGTTAGTAAACATTAGATAAATTTCCATTTGACGATAGAATGTAAAAAAACATTAAATATATTATTATATCTAAAAAACTTTTTTCAAAATTGCCAACAAAATTAGTACATATCTTAAATAGGTATAATGATTTATAGCCAGTTGAGATAAATTTTAAACTAACATGAAAGTTCTACAGACCGACTGATTTTTAAAAATCATTTTTTTAATAATCTTTATTAAAATTGAATTTGATTGAGAAAATTACAACATGATGTATATTTAATTAATGGCTCATGCAATAATATTCAGAAATAAATAAATGCTTTAATTTTATCAATCCTTATGAATTCATGTAATAGAATTACAATTCCATAAACGTGCAGTTTGAACACGTATTACACAACGGCAACAGCAGACGTATATTTTGATGATAATGCACGGAACAAAAAATAAATATTCTAGCGTTTTAGTTGATCGTAGTCGTAGGATTACACGTACGCGTACACCATGATTATTATAGTTCTGCGTTATTTATCGCTGTTCGTAATCTGAAAACGTTGGGATAAGGAATCATCGAAAGAACGAAGTGAGACGCAGAGAAAAACGGATCGCGAGTGAACGGATTTGATTGCATCCAACGGTTCACCAATAAAACGGTTCGATCGAACCGATTGCGATCGGAAGGGAAATAAAATCGTCAACTCGTCCGACGACGCGTTTTAATAAGTTCCGCGAGTCGAACGCAAAACGGCGGACAAGAAATGCACGTGCACGTGTAGACGCGAGCGGGTCGTATTTCATGCCCGCGCACCGTCAGTCACCGCAACCGTGGCCGCGGCGGATATCTCAGCGGCTCTGTGACATGTCGCAATCGCGATGACGCGTTCGCGCGGTAATCATTTGGCATTATACATGCTGTGCACAATGCGTGTACGACACGCGCTCGCGCCTCCGTCGCACACCGGCCCCGCGGTATCTATCCGCAAAAACACAAACGAATGCGGCCGCGGCGCGCGTTAATGCCCCGTTATATATTTCGTGCGCGCCGCACACGGATGGCTGATAGCGTCGGAGCGCGAGAGCGGTTTTAACACGGAAGTGTTGCGCGCGTGTGGTGCGTCGCCCCGTACTCATATCCTCTGCGATGTCCGGTCCAAACGCCTCCCGCGCCGCTAATGACCTGCCGCGCGCGCGGCAATCGCACGCGCGCACACCGCCTCCCGGGGTACCGGCGGTCGGGCCGCCGGTTAGATAGAAGCTGCGTGACGGCGGCGGCGGCGGCGGCGGTGATGACGGCAGGGCACCCGGGGATGGCCGCGGCGGTGGAGCCGGGGCATGATGAGGGATCCTATCGTAACGTAATGACGGCGGGGGTCGTTGGCGAGTGGCCAAAAAACGGTTGTTTACCGATAAAATCGGCTTGTTATTGCGTTTCGAACAATTTTTTTTTCTCCGCACGTAATGTCACGTCGTACCGCTACGAGATATTGTGTACGTGTATACGGCGATAGTATATGGGTGCACGTGTTGTATTGATTGCAGGTGTCCACGACGATTACGGTGCCGAAATAAACGCGGCGTCATGATGATTTTTGCGACGGCCGCGACGGCGGTGCTCTTGACGTGTTTCGCGTTGGAAATCGACTGGCCGCTGCTGGGATCGGTGGCCGCGTCCGGCGGCGGAGGTGGCCGAGGAGGTCATGAAACGTACGCGGACGAACCGCGGGATTACGATTCCGACCGCGGCGACGGCGAAGACGATTACAAAGACGGTGACGACGTCGACGGCGGGAACGGGGGCCTCCAACAACAAGAACACGAAGACCAACTGGACCAGGACGATCCAGGTAAACAGTTCCGTGAGATTCCGTAATAACGCGCTTTTAGGATCGCTCGAATTCTATTTTCATGAACTTTACCAGAGATTTCGTTTGCATACAACGTGCATCCATTATACTTTTAGTGAACCCCGACACAAAGTGTGCACTGCGGATTCTAGAAGTGTGTACCTGCTAAATATTAATAAAGAACACTTCTGTCTAGAGTGGTAGCACACTATTCAAATTATTTGATCGAATGTACATCATATTTAATTATTTTATTCGAAACGTAATAACAATCTCTTTTTGTTAGAAGCAAATGAATTGATCGAATCATCATTTTGTTGATAACATTTTTTTTCTCATCATACATAATGTGGTGTATATTCATTAACTCCCAACTACTCAGTCGTTCGTTTACCATCCTATTCCTAATCCATGTCTTTAAACGTAAAGTGCTGAAACTTAATAAAAAAGTAATTGTTAAATATTCATTTATATATTAAATAAAATTTGTAAACATTTTGTGATTGACATGAAAAATCTCAGAAAGGGTGATAGCCCCCACTGGCCTTCTTGTCCGGACGTTCCTGGCTGGAAATATGTATAAAATAAATAAGTGCATAATATGGAGGAAACTATGAGTAATTTGATCGAATGTTCCATATGTCTGTCAGATTTACTGATGACCGAAAATAGTTATTTTTCTTTTATTTATACATATAATATGTAATAAACGTAAAATAGAAAAAAAGACTTAATTACATTATAAACAAAAAGCCTCGGGTTGTTTCATATCAAAAACAAAATAGTTATATAGTTTGGTTATCATCAGCGTACACCGATATTAACCCTTTCTAAAATATTAATATTAAATAAAAAGTAAAATTATTCTTTTGTTTTTAAAAATTCGGTAAATATAAAATTATTCTTTATAGAAATCTAAGAAAAACAATAAATATCGAAAATCGGTATCTCTAATCAAATGAGTTATATGGGTGCCAAATTCGTAATAACTTGATAATAATATAATATCCAAATCCAAATAGATAACACTCTGAGAAAAATATAATTGGTAGTAAATGTATTTTCTAAAAAGTAGCTGTGAACTAATATAATAAAATATAAATACTTATAGAGATTATAAAATTTGTTATATACTTTTTATACGTTATACACATTATCTCAATATATTATTTTATATTTTTTATTTTTTTCGCATAAACTACAGTTTATGTGAAAGTATATCTAGATTATAAAAACAAAATCAAAAAAATCAAACATTTTTTTTTTTTTTATTAAACTTTATAAAATAATATATTAACCATTACACTACATGATTGCGCCAACCAAAGTATTATCATAGAACCGAAGTATTAATACTTCACAGGCAAGCGCTTTATTGGGGGGAGGGAGCAAGGGTGGCCATGTCACCCCTGGTTTTTCCTATTTATTATACATTTATACATAAAATATTATAATTATTAATTTATATTAAATATATATTACATTTATTTTGTTATCTGATCTCATCTATTATGGACAAAACTTTACCATGGGTAAACGAATTCTGGAAATCATAGATACTAATTATTAACATTTGGATTTCAATTCCCTGAAAAAAATAGAATGACCTGTAAAAAATCCATTTAGAACATAAAAATTCTAAAAGAAATACAAAAAAAAAAAAAATGACCTTTTAAAAAATGCATTTAACATTACATTTATTTCATTATCATTATTAATTAATTATTAATAATATAATAATATAGTTATTAGTTATTATTAATTTAACATTTTAAAATTGTGTAGGTATGCTTATAATTTATAATTTTACAAGTATAAAAAATAAAAGTGAAAAATTTTATTTCACAGATTATATTTGTATTACATTGAATCATGAGAGCTTCTTTACTATTTTGAAATTTAAATGATCGACGATTGTCTGTCAACAAGTTTTTATACTGAAAATGACCAATTTGATCTAATCAAATAGCAGTTTTACTAAATAGATTTTAATTTAATTAGTAACAAAAAAAAAAAAAAAACACAAACATTTGTAAAATATGTAGTATCTGAAACGTACCTGCAGTATATTCGACGTAATACGCAACATGACTAAATTCTATATGACAATCGGCCACACGGCCCAATGGTACGAGTATTAAAGCTCGATAAGAGAATATACTCGAATACATTTCGTATGCAATTAAATTGACTAATTGATTGGTCTGACATATAAATAAATTTCAGTCTTGTCTAATTTAAAACCAGATTGCCTGATGTTATAAAGCTCAAAATGAAAATAATTTATATTATCATACGTTGTATAATGAAGTCAAATTTTAAAGTCATAACACGAGAAATAAGACAATAATGTCTAAAAAATGTAAAAAACGTCAAATTTAATTAACATTTTGTGTAAAACATTCTAAAGAAAGATGCAAATGCATTGAAATCCGAATCCTACTAATTATAAATCTGTTAATAAAGATCACCGAATGACAGAAAGGAACCGATCACACATGTCCTTCCAATGGATTTTATATGATGGACATCCTTGTTCACAGGTCAGATAAAACACCATTAGAATGCATTAAAATATTTAATTATTAACGATACTGTCCGAAATTCACGTTTAAAATGATTGTTAAGTTCGAATTAAACCAAGCATTTTAAGTTTATTGATTAAATAGAATAATTTTTCAATAGATTTCTTAGATTTTAATAATTACGATGGACATATAATTTCTAACATAATGATTGACATTGCCGGATCAAGAAAAACTGACGCCCGAGGCTAATAGAAATGTAACGCCCTTATTTAGGTGGAATTACGGAGTATATTCATGACTCTTTTTATTTTCATAAACTTAAGAGCGCCCTCATACATATAGCGATTGAGGCAAGCAAACCCTCTTATCCCCTTAGATCTGGCACTAATTATTGAACTCAGTTTTTAGTGATTAATAGATAATTTATTTAAGAAAAACAATATATATACTCGTATTATAAATATATACATATACACACTCATTACACTCATTATTATAACTGAGTAAATATTCTTCAAGAGCAGTATTGGTAATTATTGAATAAAACGACGATAGACGTGAATTATTAAATACGTAAAAAATTGGTTAAATAGAAACATTAATGCGATACTCTACATAAAGTGTGTTTTACTTATTTTAGGAATAGTCAAATGGATAATTTAATTAAAAACATAAATATATTTGTATTATATATTGTTATAAACTCTAAACTAGAACTTCGAGCGATTCTGGTTTATACTTACAATTTATTACCACGACGCGATTCAAACACATCACTTAATACGAAATCCATGATAAAAATTATAAATATTAAGTTGTACAATACGTTCTGCTTGCTGAAAATTGTCTCATTAGACTAAATTTGCGCTGTGATAATCGCCTGATGTATTGAAAAATAATTATAACTTATAATCAAGCGAAGTCCTAATGGAAAGTTCCGTTTCAGGTAAAAATAAAATAAAAATATTAGATTGTGCGCAAACTAGTTACGCTATTTCAGGTAAAAATGGTAGATTGTGCGCAAACAAGTTGCAGCCAGATGTTCTGACTAAACTTACGATTCCATTCATCAAATATAAATGTAACAAATGTTCTCGTGCTCTGCAATTTTTTGCCAACCTATATAAAATGTAATAGTGGTGGAAAAGTGATGAGTCAGTATATGATAATTGATTCATTATACAATAAATTAACATATTATTTTATACACCATATATTTCACGCATTGACATTTGATGCGAAATATTTATAGTATATGCCGTATGGCAAATCAATTATTCTGATTCTTTTTTTTCCCAATGTTATTAGTTTAATACCTATACAATAAATATAAAACTACCATCCTATGTACTGAAAGTCGTAGTTCACCAATATTTTAAAATATTTTTTACAACAAAATAAACCTCAATATTTATATAAACTTTTGACGTTAATGACTTAAAATACATATTATAGATAAAGCAAGAAAAAAAAACTATCATTAAACTCTATACATCTTATTATATCCGAAATAAGATAAATGTATAGTAAATAAATATCATACATTTTCATTTTAAAATTTACTTTTAGCTTTTCTTTGAAGTTTTATTGGAATTATATTAAATTTTCTGGTATCTACAATACGCATTGATTAATATATTTTTTCATCACATATGATATAAATATGCAATAAAAGAATTTACTAATATTAAAGGTGTTCAGTTACATAATTCTATTATTTTATTGAATTATTAATTAACACCCGCAGAGGGTAAAAGTACAGTGGTTTAATAATTATTATAAAATTATTTTATATGATAACAGACATACAGTTAGCAAAATACAATTAATTAAATATACATAATTTTGATTTATACAAACAATCAAAATTAAAATCAAAATCGATAACTTCATTACATGATAAATACATTACAAATAATAAATGGAAACTATTTCAATGTTTTTGTGATTTTTTTACTTCAGTAGCCAGCTTTTGCACAGGATATCTCAGAGAACGTAAAAATGTTAACGATTTTATCGTATATGCATAATTATAAATTATTATTATACTATATAAAAACTCTAAACATTTAGAGTTCAATTTATAATCTCTCTGTTCGTAAAAACTAAAAACATAATACCGGATTTCCAAAATCTCGCAATAAAAAACATAGCACAAAGGCTTATACAAATATCTTTTGAAAATAATTTGTTTTCACATTTGTCTTTCAACCTAGTACGTATATACATATATTTATATATATATATGTGTGTGTGTGTAATAACATGCGGCGTTCCTGCTGTTCTTATACTTGATACTCGCATTAAATTAGCAAACCTACGGGAATATAACATAACAGCGCATACCCTTTAGATGTACACTGTTGAAGCCGTGCATAATTATACACATATTTTATTTAATAATAGTGTAATAACTACACGCGCAAACGTCGTATTATCGTAGTGCTATCAATTGTTGATATTCATTTATTT